ACACACACACACACACACACACACACACACACACACACACACACACACACACACACTTTTCCAAATAAAATGTAATAATCTGAAACATCCATTATTTATAGAGAATCATGATGTTCCCTTCTCTACACGTACTGTATCACAGGTCGTTTATCCTCCTTTGGTATGTCCAGTCATGCAGAGCACAATCATCCTCAAAACTCATCCACATAATTGTCCTAAATCCAATGAACATCCTGCCACCGCTCTCCCCATAACAAACATACAGTGTCCCTATGATGCGACACTGGATTGACAGTGATCACGTTTGGGATTGACACGTGTGTGACAATAATGCTGAGTCAGCAATATTCGCTTTAACACTATATCATCGCCGCGAATACACACACAGAGTGTTACCTGAGTGTGCACAGGGTATATGTTATACCTGTATGCATGCGTCCGCACTGGAGCTACTGCAACTAACACGCTCCCTTTTATAGGGGGAAATAATACGATTTACTCAATTTCCCGCCATTTTTCTCAACGCTCGCTCACTCACTCTTTCTCTCTGTCTGTGTTGTTTTCGCAGAACCATCACCTCGTGAGATATGCTAGAGATCGAAGGTCAAAAGCGATATTTACCTCCACCGCCCTCCACCACAGCCGGGGGAGGAGGGAGAGGAGGACGAGGAGGAGGAAAGGGAGGAGGAGGAGGAGGAAGAGGAGGAGGAGGAGGGGGAGAAGGAAATCGCCGATCGGACGACTTTCACGAATGGTCGATCTATCGGTCAAACATCAACGCCCGCTTCGTCGACAACGCTCTCGGCAACCGATCCGTAAAACCGTTTCCGTATGGCGCCTTCCGGATGGATCCGGCCACCGTCTCCGCCGTCGTCAACCACCAGAGAGCGGAATCGAAGCTCTCCGGCGGTAAGCTGGCGCCCTCTGCCGTCGGGAATGGCAGCAACGATACGAACCTGCTCATCAACTTCGGGCTGCCGCGTCCGACCGCCGCTAGGAGCCGCCACACGTCGGCTGCTAACAGCATCGACGAGACTCTACGCGACACGGCGAACGCCGACGGAGCGTTAGATGGGCGCCACGTCCGTCCGACCGGCGGGAGATCGTACAGCGTAGACGACTTGCACGACCATCTACACGCGCCAAACGGACACGCGCGACCGACGTCGTTGGACGTCGGCAGTCAGGTGGCGCCCCCCGATCCCAATCATCATCATCATCGCCGTCATCATCATCATCATCATCAGCATCCTCGCCAACAACCGGAAGTACATCGTCGGCGACGCGAATCGAAAGAATCTTCCGAGTCGAACTTTCTGAGCAGCGCAGCTCTGCTCTCCAACATGGCGACCGGCGCGCACATGCGCAGTGCCGACGCTCACAGTCAGCACAGCTTCGAGCCGCAGAGTGGCGCTCGAGTAGCGGCGCCGACACAGCAGCGACGACCGAACAGCGTCGCAGCGCCACCTGCGCACTACCGCAGCGAGCATCTCCCGCTGGAGCGCCACCGTCGCCATCGTTACGACGACTGGGAACTATACCAGAGCGGCGGCGGCGTCGTCGGCAACGACGTGCCGTACACAATCGCACGCATGTACGGCGACGACGCGCTCCGCTCGGCCGCGGCGCCCCCTAGCGGGAAGTTCACGGGAACGCTGTCGTACTTTGAAGCGTTTGATGATCAGGGCGAGATCCAGGAGCCGATGGTGTCGAAGTACCCTCACCTACAGATACGGGAGGTGACGGCAGAGCGACATTACAGCGACGGCTGGCTAGGATGCGGGGCGAAGCGCACCGAGCGCATACTCGACAGCGTCAGCTTCGAGCTGAGAGGCGGAGAGCTGCTGGCGATCCTAGGAACGGCCGGTAGGGGGCTACGGGTGGCTGCGTGCATCGCGTTGTTAGCATCTTATACTGTGATCACTTGTTGTCATCGTCGTCGTCGTCATCGTCGTTGTCGTTGTTGTTGTTACCTCCGCCAAGGGGTTTTCACCGGCGTGTGTTTGTTGGTTTGTGGGGTTGTGAGTTTGTGTACAGCCTAACTG